AGAGAGCGCCAGAAATGATTGGAATGCCTGGGTGGTGGCATCACACATAAAACTTACTATGGGCCATCCGTTGTCAACCGTCCCTTTCCCTTGAAGCCAGTTGCTGAGAGCGGATCATGTGACCAGATTGGAGCGCCCTGAGAATAGCTAAATATAGACATCTTTCCTCTACAGGCTAGTTAGTATAGGACTTACAGTGGGGTGGGAGAATGTTTCAGCTTAGTTAGAGCTAGCCTGGACTTCCACTTTAAATATGAATGTAAATTGGGATATTAGTACATTGAGACAGCCACAAGTATGGGAAATGAATGCTGGAACCATCACCTGGTGAAGATTTAAGTGATAAAAGTGACATTAAACTCTGGTAAATAAAAAAAAAAACAACAACATTCAGGTATGTATTCTTAACCCTAAAGGTCCCTTCTATTGCTTTCCCGCCTCTTCCCTATATAAATGCTGATTAACTTAAGATTAACTTCAATGTGAATTTTATTAATTATAGTTTTCATAAATCGTTTATTATTAAACAACTGATTTATCTTACATTTGAGACCACACTAACTTGATCAAGGTTGACAGTGCCATTCATTTCTGTTATCGCTGAATTTGCAAACATGGTGGCTCCATTGGTAGTTGTGCATTTTTCGTGCTCAGTATGAATTTCCCTTGGTGGTTTGTCGATTTCTAAGTGGTTATGATGTCCCTGTGATAAAAACATTGGGATTATTAGTAAGGGGTTTCACTGTTAGGGGCAAAGTAGCCATTTTTTTTCATAAGACATTTTCAAGTAGTGGGCCTATAAGTAATGGTAAAACAGTTTTCTTACTTCACCATAGATGTTCAGACTCATTTTCAGCACCCTCTCAACAAACAGTAGAATGTAGAATCCTCCAAAAATAGCCACTGCTTTTGAAACGTAATTATCAATTTTAGGATCAAATCCAAATGCCTGCAACAAAATACACAATTTTACACTGTAGTGCATCAGCTTTCAGACTACAACAGTGACCATTTGTCATGTGTGCCTAGACAGTCTGTAGTACAGTATCTCACAGAAGTGAGTACACCCCTCACATTTTTGAAAATATTTTATTATCTTTTCATGTGACAAACACTGAAGAAATGACACTTTGCTACAATGTAAAGTAGTGAGTGTACAGCTTGTATAACAGTGTAAATTTGCTGTCCCCTCAAAATAACTCAACACACAGCCATTAATGTCTAAACCGCTGGCAACAAATAGTGAGTACACCCCTAAGTGAAAATGTCACAATTGGGCCCAAAGTGTCAAAATTTTCTGTGGCCACCATTATTTTCCAGCACTGCCTTGATCCTCTTGGGCATGGAGTTCACCAGAGCTTCACAGGTTACCACTGGAGTTCTCTTCCACTCCTCCATGATGACATCACAGAGCTGATGGATGTTAGAGACCTTGCGCTCCTCCACCTGCCATTTGAGAATGCCCCGCAGATGCCCAATAGGGTTTAGGTCTAAAGACATGCTTAGCCAGTCCATCACCTTTACCCTCAGCTTCTTTAGCAAGGCAGTGGCCATCTTGGGAGGTGTGTTTGGGGTCGTTATCATGTTGGAATACTGCTCACTTCTGTGAGATACTGTACATGCATACATTCTGGCTTATTGATACAAAAATTGCAATAAAGTATACAAAAAGGATGTAACCTATAGCATATTAACCCTGATCATTTTATAACCAATAGATCAATTAAATATAATTGTTTGGTGCTATGTGCTACTTTTTCCTGTTTTATTTAACAAACCTGTTCATGTGTTTAGGATATTTTAATAGTTGTCTGAAAAAAAAACCTAATAGTAGCAGTCTGAGTATAGGCTCAATTCACAAAGCTTTACAAATCAATCACCGTATGTCTGGACTGCAGCAATTTTCCAGGGTATGGTCACCTCCCCTTTTTCTCATCTACACAACATAGAGAAACCATGTTTTGCAATTCAAAGAGATAGCTGGGAACAATGTTACCTGATAAGAGTACACTACAGTTATCAGCTCATAGAAATTCTGGCAGAATCAACAGGTACAGTATTTGTGTTTTACAATTATCGAACAGATATGACCAAATACTTTTGAAAAAGGACAAAATTGAGCAAATAAGGGAAGCTAATTGTTAGGATTTACCTATTCTTTGAATATAAAAATACCTTTATCATTGTGTGCTATCTTTGTGAATTGAGCCTCATGTGACATAATGCCCAAATAGATCACATTAATGCTGGCCATACATGGCTTGAATCTGACCGATTCCTGCTGAATCTGCAGAAATTTGAACCATGGGTGGCCCCGTCAGCACAAACTGGCTTGACAAACTTTGATCTGAGAATTCTCAGTCAGCCAGTTAGATGCAGTTCATTTATCCTGGCCATACATTTATTTATTTCAGGTACTTATATAGCGCCATCAATTTACGCAGTGCTTTACATATATATTGTATTCGCATCAGTCCCTAACCCTCAACGGGCGTACAATCTAAGGTCCCTAACTCACATTCATACATACACATACTAGGGACAATTTAGACAGGAGCCAATTAACCTGCCAGCATGTCTTTGGAGTGTGGGAGCAAACCGGACGAACCCGGAGGAACCCACGCAGGCACAGGGAGAACATGCAAACTCCAGGCAGGTGGTGCCGTGGCTGGGATTCAAACCAATGCCCCTAGCACTGCCAGGTGGAAGTGCTAACCATTTAGCCACTGTGCTGCCCCAACATGGATAAAGTTCAGCCGGTTCAACGGGGACTAGCCACATTTCAATCCTTGTGAGGCCACTGTAGTTGATCAGAAGTTGATCTACTGATCAGCTTCTGTTCAACCATCCTGTTGGATTTAGCAGCCTATAGCTGCAGCACTGATCAGTTTATTCTGAGAACAGGGAAGTCTCCCCACTGACATAATACAATAGTGCAGCATGGAGCACACAAATGAGGTGCATGGGGGAATTGGTTCAGTTTTTTTTTTGTTCAGCCCCCTGGCTGAAAGATAAAAAAAACTGAATATTGTGTGGCCAGCTTTATTCTCAAGCAGTGGTTGTCAGAATACAAAAGCCAACGGGAAATTCCTCCAACCACATTGTGAATCTGGGTAGGGAGAACTTGCTTTCTCTCGTTCAGTCCAGCAAAGCCCTGCATTTCATGCAGTGACTAACCTCCTTGCTTCCTAAATAGGAGACACCTGTTCCAGCTTTAGTTATGAGGACATTATGCTCATCAGGGACCGGCCATATTTTCATCCATGTATGGGCAGGCTGATTGACTTGGATACAACTAGCCTGTCAGATTTTTCTGCATGCGATTACTGCCAGTGACTATAGCTACTAGCAGTAATCATTGCATTCTGCTGGCCAGGAAGTTTTCCCCCGCCAGCAGAATACAATAGCACTGCGGGAGGGATTCCCTCATCAACAATGACTGTGTTGATGGAGGAATTGAGCTAGAAAATCAATTAATCTATGGCTTGCCTTAAAGGCTGGTACACAAGGACCGAATATTTGCTGGTAACAGCTGGTTCAACAGAAACTGGCCAACATTTGGCCAGTTTGTACAGCGGCCTGTCCAACAGAAGCTGGTCTAATGACTGGCTTTTATCAAAGGGGCATGCTGGAACACCAGCATCCAATCAGAGCTTGCAGCCAATGACTGTGAGCGGTGGTCTCCTTGTCAGAACACAACAGCCCAGCAGGGGAGATTGCCACACTAACATTGCTTAGTTTCGTACGGTGACCTCTCAGTTTTTTGTTTTTTCATCTCACTGGGTTAAATGAAAAAAAAATCCCTGTGTGAACGTAGCATAAGACTAGGTATACATTTGCAGTTGCAGGGAATTAGGAACATGTGGCTGAATGGGACTATACTGCACCTGCTCGGCCACCACAAGAAATGCATGCATTTGAGGAGCTGTGGCGTGAGTTTTAGGGGTTAAAACTGTCAGTGAGGAGGTACTTCTCACACTTGTCAAATGACCTCTGAAAGCAATCTGCAGTAAACAAGCCCTTAGAGGCTGATTTACTAAAGGATTTGAGAGTGTTCACACAATAAAATGTGCGAAGATTCACTTTAATTATCCAATCATGTGCGGATAAAAAAAAGCAAACAAGAATGTTCTTTTTCACATGATTGGATAATGAAGTGGATCTTCAGACATTTTATTATGAGAACATTCCCAAATCCTTTAGTAAACCAACCTCCAATTGTACAATCTCTGTACAGTCTTGTAGGAGATTGAACAAGTAGGTTGTAATGTATGTGATCAGCCTCTGATCTATAAAATATATGTAGTGCAAGGGCCCACTTAAATAGTCACTTTACTTTATTTCCACTCGGAGCACCCTCAGACAACATACAGTAGATATTGGTAGATCCAAAAGTAAAATATACAATCAGATTATAAGTATATGATCAACTTAAGTGTATGTTTTTAGGAGTTGCCCTGTGTATCTTAAGTGTAGAAGTAGGAGAATACACAGAAATATGCACTTCTAATGCTAACCACATATTGCCCAATTCTGGGTATTTTTTTATAATTAAACTTTCTATCAGCTTTGAATTAAAAGATATCAATTATGTCAATTAATTGTCTATAAAACTAAAAATGTCCAAGGGTGTGGCCAAAATAGGGCTTCTGAAATAGAGCAACATCACGTTGCAGTTTAATGTTGCTATCAAGACAAATTTTATAAATCTGTCAATCTCACTGTATCACATGATCCCCTTTCCTTTAACAATCACCATGTCATGGCTGATAGACATGTCATCATACCACCCATATAGAATATAAAACATGTATCCCCCCTAAATACACACATTTTTGTTTGAGTATATGCATGTATGTATTTACTTTTTCACTTTTACTTTTCAGTTTCAGACCACTTACCTCTGGAATCAGTTGAAATATTGCATTTGAAAACAAAGATCCAATGGCCAGTCCAATAAAGTAAGTCAATATCTTTGGGAAGTAAGGCTTCTTTACAAAGGGGGTTATAAATAGTCCAATCATTGCCGTCACGTTAATAATGCTTACAGACAAAATACTGAATCCCCAAACTAAAAAAAAAAAAAGCTTAATTATTCGACATCATTGAATGATTCATTGCAAAGTTATTCATATTTCTATGAAAGTATTAATATAAATCAATATATTTGACTAAAGCTGTATTGGCCTTTATGTTACGTATGCAGTCCACAACTTGTTGCCTTAGACCAGCCTTTTTCAACCAGGGTGTCCAGGCACCCTGGGGTGCTTTCTGGGTTCTTCAGAGGTGCCTTGGCAAAATGCTTATAAATTGTCCCAAATTTCCCAAAAATTGTCATTCAGCCAATGGATGGATCAATTGGACAAAAAAGGGGAGGAAATAGCCACCTAGCATGACACGTAAATATGTGTCATATAAATATCTCCGTCTCACTAATAATTAGTGTGGATTTATAAACCCAATATACTTAACATAAAAAATAGAAGTATGACAAGTGCAGTACTGCTCACACACACACTGATTATTAGAAAAAACCAAGCGGAGTAATATGATTAATAATTACAAAAAGTTTTATTCGATCACATGGATCATAAGGAGTTAGACAGAGTCTGCGGTGATTGGTGGACGAAACGTGTCAACGTGATGACATCATCACGCTCGGCATCTCCATAGGGCGCGGTGCCCACGAGGAAGGAAGAAGCGGTTTGCTTCAGCTCCACACTGGAAAGGCAGGAGACACTCAAATTATGATGAGAGGACATCATCTTAAGCAGCCCGCACATGGCAATTCTGAGTCACAGCCTACTTCCACCGGTGGCAAGTTTGTAGCCGTTCGGCTAAATTAGGCTTTAGTGCTATTTCTATATACGGGTAATATACCCTCATATTTTGGAAATCCTGTGCCTCATCATTGGGGGAATTTTTTGAACTCCTATTGGAGAAATACGTATACAATACGCTATATATGTGTTGTGGCATGCAAAAACAGTCTCATATATATTTTTAAGGAACCGCACTACTTTCTCATTATTGAGCAATTTTTGGAAACCTAGATTTGGGTCTATATATCTAAATATACATAAACTGTATCAACCAGTCTGGACTTTATACATTAACCACCTGGCTTCCCACCCCCATATTCACTTTTTCATCCAGACCTGATCTTACTTCAAGTGAGGAGGAGTCCCGTTGATCTTTTGTATGGTAATATTCAAAGATTTTTACCCTTATTTAGTTCCATTCAGGTTTGCTGGTAGCTTGATATTTATGTCTCATATTTATACACTTTTAGAATCACTTACTACTGTGGATACATTTCCATTTGGGGTGGTTACCCAGGAAGGCCATATATCCATCCTTTCATGATGGTCAAGCTTATGAGAAGGTAATGGAATAACATATATACCTGATGTGGGGTTACTTTGTTATTGCATATGGTTAGTGCATATATCCTATTTTTTGATCCCTCTACTATGATCCTTTCTTTTCTGGTTTTCCATTTCAGGAGGTCATTCTATTCATTGTGGTGGTTACCAAAAACAATTTTTTGAAGAATGTTCTCCCTATGCAGATATCGTATGGAAAATATGAAAATTCTTTGATCAAGTAGTTAGGAACTTCATTCCCTTATGTGGATTCCTGATTGCCAAATAACTATTAGATCTGGAGACGCTGAATGTTTTTAACCTAGTGATTTTATAATTACTTGTTTACCATGTCTCTGTCTAACCTCCTTATGATCCATGTGATCGAATAAAACTTTTTGTAATTATTAATCATATTACTCCGCTTGGATTATCTAATAACCACTTTGTGTGAGCAGTACTGCACTTGTCATATTGCTATTTTTTATGTCAATGGATGGATCAAGCCTGCCTTTTGTTACATAAAGCTACAGGTTTTCATTGTACAACATTACAACCTTGGGCATTGTGTGGGCCAGCTGCTAATACCCTAACAATCCCTGATGTCATTGGTTGATAACGAGGACTTTGAGCACCTGCACAGCATGCTTTTTGACCCCCTTGTTCCCCCTTCCCCGGGGCCATGCTAGTTACTTGGGGGAGAGAAAACGAGGGAGAAGAAATGCTGGAATACTAATCAGTACCAGTGCGCAAAAGTGTATTTGCTTTGTAGGAATAAATTACCTCTAATGTTGGATGTCTTACGTGTGTGGAGCCTGCATGCAAAACTATAGGTTTAGTCTTTTAAATTTTAAAATGGGGTGCCTCAAGATTGTGCATAAGTTTAAAGGATGCCTTGGATGGAAAAAGATTTAGAAACATTGCCTTAGACTGCTTTCATATGGGTGTTTACCAACACTGCAAATCTACTGATTCTTGACATTGACAGTTGTGTGCGAATACGTGCACCTACCAAGTCTATATAGTGCAACATATGCACAGTCACCTGCTATAGGCCAGTGTTCACTTTACCTAGTTCTGCATTGTTAAAGTGTTCTATAGTTTGATGATAATTTTTGCACCGTTTACCTGCTTTGATATTATACATTTAACGAAAGTGGAACTGCACTGCTTCTGAATACCACAAACCAAAAATGCTATATAGTTCATTTTTAATATTCAAAACAAACTCCTCCATCCATCCATATCTCCATGCTTTATTTTGAAGAGAAATCAGCCTCCTGGCTTTTCTGGCAGTAGTCATTTTGAGTAAGGGCAGATAATTCATGTACAAGTTACTTCCTGGAATCCACCTGTCCTTAGCTCAGACATTGGCTGAGCTGAGAACCCTCCCTTTCTGAAGACTCCTGGGATGTATGACATGTGCCTCGGCATGGAAACCAGGACGTAAATGAAGGAATGCAAAAAAAAGGTTAAAACAAGTAAATATATTGTACTTTCTTAACTATTTACTAATGCTAGCAGCATAAGGATTAGAAATAGTCCATGGTGATTGAGAGAGTGAAGTTCCACTTTAACCTACAATTCAGTAGTTTATGACCCTCTACCTATAACCAGGTGTGCCAATGTGGTCAATGCAGCTTTATGGTAGAACAAGGCACCCGTCATCACCAGTGGCTCCTGCAGATGGTAGTGCTACATAGTTTTTTCTGCTGACGGAATCTCTTTAAGCCAGATTTTGGGGTTGATTTACAAAAACCAAATAGGTTTTTCACTTTGAAAGGCAAGTTGCAGAGTATATTGAGTGTAAAATTTCACTATGCAAATAATACCCAATCGAGTGCAAGGAAAATTTTTTTTTCTTTTTTTGCTTGCACATGATAGAACATCAACAGAGCTATCCCCCATAAGCTCTGGGGAAAATTCCCATGCAAAGTGCAACTTCCCTTGCAAGGTAAACAGCCTTTTTGCCTTTAGTAACACAACCCCTTGGAATTAATGTTTTGTCATTTATCACATTCAGTCACTAAACAATCTCTTTATTGCCCAGTACAACATACCTTAATTACTGAGTACACCAATCCTTCTATTTGTTATTATTTATTACAGGTACTCATATAGTACCATCAATTTACGCAGTGCTTTACATATATTGTACATTCACATCAGTCCCAAACCCTCAAGGGGTGTACAATCTGAGGTCCCTAACTTACATTCATACATACACATACTAGGGCCAATTTAGACAGGATCCAATTAACCTACCAGCATGTCTTTGGAGTGACTCTAGTACTGCCAGGCAGAAGTGCTAACCATTTAGCCACTGTGCTGCCCCTTCTAACATAGTTACATAGTTGGTAAGGTTGGTAAGGTCCATCCAGATCAACCTGTGTGGGTGTGTAGGAGTGTGTATGTATTTACATCTCTACCCTCTCTCATATCCCTGTATATTGTGTTTGCTAAGGTGCCTATGTAAGTATTTTTTTTTTTTTTTTTATCGACAGTCCTCATTGACACCAGGGATTGTGGAAGGGAGTTCCACATCCTTACCACTCTAACAGTAAATAACCCCATGCACCATTTATGGCCAGATTCCTCTAAATGATTTGAACCCCCCCCCCCCCCACGACTGTTCTCTAAAATGTACAGACAAAATTTGCATATTATGAAAGGATCTGACTACTGAGCAATGCACTTCCCACCTAAGAAGATGCAGATATGTCATATATGCATCTACATCTCTGTGTCCATGCCACACTATTAGTACCATTGTTAGCTCAGAATATAAATAATTTCAGGCAATGTGGTGCTATAACCCTTAGATATTACAATTATGGCCCCGGCCTGCAAAAGTTTGAATGAGTGTTGATGCCTTGAACCTTTTGTGATTTTCATATACATTTTGTTGTGTAGTATAATGTTTCTGAGTATAGTTTCTTCTTTACCTTCACATAAGGTTATATCTGTCACTATCAGGGGCGGACTGACCATTTGGAAACTCGGGAACTGCCCGAGGGCCCGGGGTCAGTAGGGGGCCCCATGAGATGCCCCTGGTACCTTTTTCATAGGCTTTTTTGAGTTCGGGCAAGGACACAGGGGCCCCATGATCCCCTATTGCCCAGGGGCCCCATCAGTTGTCAGTCCGCCCCTGATCACTATGTATACCTTCACATTGGATACAGATAAATTAAAAACATTAACATTACATATTTTATATGCCAAAGTAAAATACTGAACGGACATGGGTTTTCATTTACAACTGCCTTGAAAACCGCACTGTAACTTAAGATTCTCACATAAAAGCTTCTGTAAATGAAAGCAATTCACTTTGATGCCAAATACTGGACTAGTAACAAAATACATTATAATAGTAGCTTACAGTATGTGGCTTGGAAAACAGCTATTAAAAGCGTGTCATGTTAAGTGAAAATAAGTAACCGTGACTACACAAAATGAGTCTTCTGTACAGTCAACACTTGAATGCTGAAATGCTGATACGGGCAGTTCTAGGAATAAAAGCTTACAAAAAGAGCAACGGTATTAGCCATACTGTACTCAGGTAGTGCAGTCTTGGCAGCGGCACCTACTGCACCTGTTAGCATTTCAGAGACCTTTGGAAAATATGCAATAAATCTTGAAACACAAGTATTTTTCGTTTAACATGTCATAATGATCACTCTGTACTTTTTAACTGATTTCATAAATG